TGGAAAAAACGACCATATAAAACCGCAACCTGATGACAAGTTGGATTTGATAGTATTCACTGAGCCGAGGAGCCAATGTGAAGTGCTCTATAAACTCTAGGTATCATTTTGGAGTTGATGACGTGGTTTAGGTAAAAATTAGGTCAGAGCAAAAAAGGGGCAATCACAGCCCCATCTTGTGATGTCATCTATCTAGGAATGGTTGACGTTGATGTTTGAATGATGTCTGACCAAAGCTAATACCCAATCAGGTTCGCATAAGAAAACAAAGTAGACAGTTATTTCCAGGCTAAGAAATCTATTCAGACAGGTGAGAGTTTGTTGAGTCATTTATCAACAGTAAAAACCACATCCACACACAGTATTAGCTGATGACTCTAAATAAACAGAGGCACAGATACATTATGATTATTTTCCTCTATGAAGCATCTTTTCATGCCACTTTAAAGCTGTGTTACTATCACACTCCCTCACATTAGTAAAGTAAACAGTGTAGAAATGTATTTCCTCACCTTCATAAACCACTGACAGCTCAAAGAGTGAATCCATTTGTTTTAACACTCTCATCTCCCCCCTGGCAAGCATCAAACAAACTTTAATTATGCGATTACACAACATCAGGCTCCGTCAAGAAGCTGAATCAGCAGTGGATTTATTCTCATTTTTAAGTGATACACTCCATTAAAGGATTATTCTGAGACCTTCAAGATGAAAAATATCACAATTAAAAATGCACCTCATAGGGCTGCTGGCATTAAAAGCATGCCAGAGTGCCATTCATCAGCGGCTGTATGCAGACATGGCGTCTTAGAGCAGCCTAGTGAAATTACAGGGGGAAACACTGGCAGCAAAGTCCATAACAGTCACAAATAACAGCCTGCTATGACAAGGGAAATTACATGTCTTTGGAATTGAAATTGTAATAGCGTGATATAATTGTATCAGCGCGAGGAATGTGCAGTAAGTGTAATCGGATGCTTTCATGTTTTGATAAATGTGGTGGTAAGGCTTATTGTGAGTTTTTTGAGATCTTTGAGGTTTTCTTGATCAGATGAGCAGATAACTAATTTTCCAAAAAGAGTATGTTGATTTATTACGGCTTGTGTGTTGATGGAGGATTATGTGAACATTCATTCATTGGGACAGCATTGAAAGATTAGATGATCATGGAAATTATAGTATGTTTTTTTCCAGACAATGCACTGTATACAAGGAAATAATTCATAATAAATCTCATGTGACAGACTGTAGATAAAGGTAAGTAAAGTTTGGTTAATGCCGTACATCTACAGCAGGATTACACTATAACCAGCCAGTTATCACATCCAGACACCAATAAGCTTGTGTCATTATGCAGCAGTGGTCTGGATGTGTTTATATGCCTCAGTGGCTGCACTATATGAGTGGATCAGTATGAGCAGTTCCCACACCCTCTCAGGTGTCCTGTGCTCAGGGCAGCCTGGCCCAGGCAAACAGATAAAGGCTGCCTTTGTTTGCAGCAGGGAACAGGTAACCATTTGTGCCTGCACTATTGTGTGTGTGTGTGTGTACTTGTGCTTGTGTATGTGCATGTGCATGTGCATGCATACATGCATGCAAACGCATGTGTGTGTGAGTGTAAGAGAGAAACAAACAGAGATAGGATTGACTGGGCTGCCTATCATTGCCAGAAGAACAGGTGTGGCTTTTCATCGGCCTCATATTCGCAGCATACAGCACATGTGCGCTCAATAAAAGGGAAGGTAAACTATGATTTCCGGTCTGTGACTCTCCAGGCAAACAAACACCACCATAAACAAAGTTAGACTTTTGGGAAAGCATTAATTCATGCTTTTATCCTCTTAAGAGACATTCCTCTGCTCAAACTTAATTACAGGTGTACTTTTTAATGTGATTCTACTTACTATAATGTAACATATATGTACTCCATAAAGATTTACAGTGTGTCACTATGGTAATTAAACTCTAAATTATTTATTATTGAAGGGAATCATTTTTCAGAATCAGGACAAAGAGCTGTGTGCATGGGTGTGTTAGGTTGTAAAAACAATAGATAAAAGAGATCTAAAAGTTAATAATTAACATTCACGCAATGTGACCTTCTCTGTGCCCCAAATTACACACTATACACTACACTAATTCTGTGTTTTGAGAGTATGTAGCAAGGGAAATGACAAACTGAAGTGTGCTTCAAAATGGCAGCATGCAGAGTAAAATCACTTGATTTTTAAGTGTAGTTTAGTTTAATATTGTCCCACAATGCAACACAAAGAAAATGGGGAGCTGCTCACAGAGGGGAGAAAAAGCTTTTTTGTTTTGTGAGCTTAGAAGCTTACAGTAAATAACTGACTTCTTCAGTAAAACACAAAGGTTTAATACATAACACCTAGATACAAGATGTTTTAGCAGCTTCTTAAACATTAGTTTACACTTCTTTTATTGCCCGAAATATATTATTTTGTTTTCCTAGTTGTTACGTATTAATTAAAAATAGCCCTTCAGATATAAACAGTGTATTTTGTTTGACGCCAAAAAAGGGCAACGGTCAAAGGTGCCTGCAAATGTGTACAATCAGTTGATAAGAAGAGAGCAGGTTTCAGAGATGATATAAAATGATGCTATAGAAATGTATAGAAACGTATGATGTTAGTAATAGAAATATTTTCATAATATTGCACTTTCTTGTAGTACTTGAACGTTCCTCCTGTGAGTTGACAATACCAGCAGTGGCCCAAAGCCAATTTGAGTTTGAACACCTGGTCTGCATTAACTTCTTTTGGTTACGAGGTGCTGTTTTTTTTTTTTTTTTTACAGCAGATTGAATGAGAACAAGAGCAAAATGATGTGGGCCTGTAACCGTGGAGAAATCAAAAACAATGAAACCAGTTGCATACATATGACACTGTGTGTGTCGTACATTAGCATCTGTTACCTGGTGTTTAAGTCAGAAGTTGAGGATTACCTGTTCAGGAAGCTGGAGGGTGAGAAGAGACGAAGTTCTGCAACTGTGTTTAAACAGCCTGTCAGGAGAGCTAACTTTATGACCTGCTGCTGGATTTCAGCCGCTGCTCACTCTAAATATTCAATCAGAAAAGGTGCCTGCTGGCTAACGTGGGTTGACAGGAAGGTACACCAGAGTGGTGGATGACTATAGATCTCAGGTGAAAGGTGAGAGTGCTGAGGATGTCCTCTCTTCTTCTGTCTGTCTGTCTGTCTGTTGTGGTATCCTGTCTGGAGCTGGTGTGTGCGTGTGTGTGTGCGCGCGCGTGTGTTGCGTGCGTGCGCGCGTGTGCGTGTGTGTGTGTGTGTGTCTAGAGATGTTAAGTACAGGGGCTGAATGCTGCGTGTAGAGAGGTCTTTAATTAGAGCAGGAAGACACGGCTCAGGAGACACACTGCACCAGACTCAAGTGTTTGCACGTGTGTGTGTGTGTGTCCATGCAGGTACGTGTGTGAGTGTGTGAAGACTGGGAAACATCCTGCATGCTTTAGTAGTTTCAGGGTCCATCTTTCTAATTCCAGAAGTGTCTGCTGAGTGTGTGTGTGTGTGTGTGTGTGTGTGTGTGTGTGTGTGTGTGGGGTATACATCTTAAATGGGTGCATGAATCCCAAAAATGTACAGAAGCCATTTTATAAAGTCATTCCTCTATTAACCGTATCAACTAAACATCCACAGACTGTCTGAATAAAATGTACACAGCACTGCTTACTGTCATTAGTGTAACACTCGGCCGAGTCGGTGGAATCCTCTGGCGACACTAAGCCAGGTTTCTAACGTGAGTTGTGTCCAGTCAACCATATCTGGTTGCTGAATAAGTGATTTGTAGACTAACATACTGGTTTCTTTTTTGAAATAGGATTTTTTTAAGAAACATTCCAGTTTCTCCCCTCTGTTTATTCAGAAATCTACACAATTTAAGACAGTTTAGTCCCGATTCATTTTGTCTACACGAACAGCTTAAAAAGTGACCATAGTAAGATAGTAAGATTTGAATCTGTGTTGTAATATTTATTTGTGGAAGGCTATTACTTACAAATAATCCTTTTTGCAGATGTTACACACCAGAAATTGTACTTATATCATTTATATGTGCCTTTTTTTTACAGATCCACACTCCCTTCAGTAAACTTACAATTTACATAAAAAACAAGTCCTCCACCACCCACCTGCGTAATGTCGATCCATTTTGACTAATGTCTGTTTAATGGATTTTCTGGTTGAGTCAGAAACGTTTATTCCATTTAGATACATGTACAAAATACATGCTGCTTTGGCAGTTTGAGCCCACTTTCCTCACCCCCACAGGTGGTTTATGTTAGCAGATCTTAAATACATTTCTACCTGGATTTGATACATTTTCACTGATTCTGATGTCTTTGAAGCCTGGAGTGCACCATTAGAATAATTATAATATTTTTCAGTGTTTGATAAGCGGCTGTACACATTTCTGTTTGTGAAACACAAAAAAGGACAAAACTAAAAAAGTAAGGTTATTTAGGTTATATGTTAAGATTGGGGTACATCATCTTAAATTCTTTATGTTTTACCTGTTTAGTTTTAATTGTTGTACAAATCACATTATACCAATACAATTATTTGTGTCATTTTGAGAAATAAGGGGGTGAGTATTGCATTCTTTTTCGCAAAAGGAGGGTCTTGAAAGAATATGAATTACACTGTGGAGGGTCTTGCCTTTTTAAAAAGTGAAATATCAGATTCAACCCCCCTCCCAACACTAATCATTACCGTACAGTCCCTTATAATAAGTTATAAATAAGTGATAAATTGACGTATTTTAATAAAACGATTTCCAAATTGATTCCCTAAATGTTCATTTAAATGAGGCATAAATAAAGTTAAAATAAATTATAGGAATGTATCATGTGGACTTGTGTGTGTGGATTCAGTAATGTGTAAGCATTATTTTTTGTGTTTCAACTGCAGGATTAGTGTTTTTTAGTAAAACATACTAAGTAGTTATTTTCCCTCTTCTCTTGCAGCTCCCATGTGTTCGTTCAGCCATGCTCCCTGGGTATGGATTCTCACCTTTCCCTGATTTCCAGCCCCACCTTTACGCTTTTCGCTGCCGAGGAGAGAGTCCTAGCATGTGGATCCCTGGCTCAGGAGAGTCCCAGGCCCTAAACGAGGCCCAGGAGGACAGGCCTCTCCTCCACCCGTGCCACCACAAGCATATCGCTGTGTGCCAGCAGGAAACACTGGCTTTTATTGAGCTACAGCCGCCAGTGACTCCCAAACTAAACGGTCTTGGCTCTCCGAGGCCAACTGTTATTCCAAACACACAATGCACAACACACTCCCTGACCCTGAATGGTTTCAGACACACACTAAATGAACTGAATGACATGCAGAACGGCTGCCACAGGACAGACAATGAGCATGAAACAACACTGAATTTAAACTCTGATACACCTACAAGTGACGGTGAGCTTGAATGCCATAACGGCATCAGGGCTTCTTTGCAGGAGCAGACTGAAAAACCTCACGCTGTCACAACAGTATGTCGTCCTCTCCACGCAGCTCTTAGCCTCCCTCTGTCGCTCCCTCTGTCCTCTCTATACACAAACAGAGACTCCTGGGAATCTCAGTTACCTTGCTCTCCATCTTCACCTGTTCCTGGGTTTCAGAGCCCAGATTCCTGCCAGCCACAGAGGAGGACATCCCAGGGTTCACTAAAAGAAAAGTCTATCCGTGAGTATGCAGCTTTCTTCACTGTGGGCAGAGTTGACATAACAAATTAGTTTAGAAACTTTAAACATGCTTTTTCCTTAACCTAATAAAAGCTATTATTTGTTTTCAGGACGGAAGATGCAGATTTATTCCCCAGAAAGCCCGAGCGACGAATCTCTCAGCAGTCCAATCCTGGATGCAGACGACATCTTCCCAGGACCTTTTGCATCTTTCCTGGAGGAGGACCTTAGTGGATTATCTTCCCTGGAGGCCATTTCAAGTCCTTCATCCACAGACGGTGTTACTGATCTCCCAAACTTCAGTCATGATGACATTTTTAATCTACCTGCAGAACCACTGCAGATAATAGAGGACTCAATACCAGGGGTGGGGGAAGACAGTGTGACTGTAGAGACATCCAGTGCCACGGGGGGGAGCTTCTTGTCACGCAGCCGCCAAGGGGACCAAGAGCGGCGGCGCTTCTCTGCCTCAGAACTGATCTCTAGACTGCAGCTGTCTCAAAGGAAGAACTCCTTCACCTTGAAGCTGGGGAAGTCGCTGTCTGCACGGGTAGCCTCTCGGGACCGGCAGAGCTCCAACAGCCTCAGCGCCCACCCTGACTGTGAGTAGACTACAGAACCAACATTTCAATTTAAAGGTTGTTCACAACCCTAACCTGTGGATTAGACAGCCAAAAGGAATATAAAACACATTACAAAATAATAGCACAAACAGTGATAGAAAACAGAATCAATGGTCTTCTCCTTGAACAAAATAGCTTTACAGATTGGTGACAAATTAAAGGAAAAAACAACAAAGTGTCTCAACAACTCAAGTGCTTCTTGTCATGGATTCTTCAGATACTAGAGAGATCAACACAATTCATCCAAAAGATACCCCCTCACCCCAATAGCCCAACGGCCAGGTATTTACCAACTACTGCAACGTCCACGGTTCCAACTGAAGACCTTTGATTACGTGTCATACCCTTCTCTCTCCCCATGTTTCCTGTCTGTCTACATTGTCAGCTCTCAATATAAAAGGCAAAATTACAAAAAAGGATTAGTTAATTATGGTGCTGACAGCTGTCTAACACCTTCGTTCATTTATTCAGGTTTTACCTTTAATGTCCCCCATGTTTTAGGCAGTAGAGATGTCAAACCCCAGCTGAAAAACTAACTATTAACATAATGTGCCCTGTCCTCCAGAGGGGAAAGAAATTCTCAGATCCTAATATATGAGGACATAATAGAGCTGCAACAATCAGTTAATTGATGATAATTAATAGTTAATAGTTGATTATTTTTGGTCTTTATGACAGTAAACTAAATGTATTTGTCTTGTGTACAAAATGAGACATTTGAGGACGTCACCTTGGGCTTCGGAAAAAAAATAATGTTTTATGGACCAAATAAGTAATCAATTAATCCAGAAATTCAGATTAAGATTCTTTGTGTACTGTCTGATAGTGGTTAAAATGTCTGAAAACCTACTGGAGAAAAGACAAGATTTGTTAGCCCCAAAGCCTTAGTAACAGGGACATTTGTGTGGGGTTCAAACTCTATCACACCATGAAGTCTCTTGCTCCTTACCTGGACACACACACCTGCTGTTTGTCCTCTTTAGATAAGTCCAACTCAAAACACCGCAGCTCAGGAGGTTCTAGTGACAGTGCCCCCCACAGCCCTGTAGGACCTGCACCTTCTCTGCTGTCCAGCAGTGACAATGGCCTGCCTTTGCATCGGTGGAGCACAAAACTCGGGTAAATACAGATTTGAAATATTTCAACACAAAAACTGCAAAGAGTATAGGACATGTGTTGATGTCAGTTCACATTTTCTTCACAGAATGCGAAAGAAATCCATAGAGGAGGACTTACTTCCAACTGTTGCAAGTTCAAATCGTTTATCGCGGTTTTTGCCTAGCTGTAAGTTTCACCTAATATTTGTTTAATTGATTAAACTGAGACATTGCATTTTCATGTAACATCCTTTTTCCACTTTCCAATATTCCCTGCAGCGATTCTGTACCAGGAATACAGTGACGTTGCCATCAACAGAGAGATCCAGAGGCAGCAAGGGAAGGAGCCAGGCACAGAGGAAGAGGGGCTCAGGGATGAGGGGTCAGACGGGACCCCGTCTCCTTCCAATCTCTCTCCATCAAGCTCCTTCCGCTCATCACGAGGCTCTGCTTTTGCATTATGGCAGGACATACCTGATGTTCGATGCAGCGGGCAGCTCGACAACTTCAGCAACGAGGAAAGGAAATTACAGGAGGTGAATGAGACATTAAAGATTTTGCCACAGCGGTTTGCTACTTCTTGTACTGTAGATATCTGGCTGACACACAGTTTTTTCCTCAACTCAGGCAAAGTTTGAGCTGGTGACGTCTGAGGCATCGTACATCCGTAGTTTGACAATCGCAGTGGACCACTTTATGTTGTCGCAGGAGCTCGCTGAGTGTCTGGGAGCTCAGGATAAGCAGTGGCTCTTCTCCAAGCTGCCTGAAGTCAAAGATGTCAGTGAGAGGTGAAGTGATATGCTGCCGATATGGCTCTGTTGCTCTCCGTTCTTTACTTTTATTTTAACATCTCAGTCATCACGCCTCCTTCTCTGAGTGCATTTTCTGCTCACTTGATGTTTGTAGGTTTCTTCAGGACCTGGAGCACAGGCTGGAGGAAGACATTCTGCGTTTTGATGTGTGCGACATTGTCCTGGAACATTGCCCGGCTCTGCGAAGGGTTTATTTACCTTATGTAACCAACCAGGCTTACCAGGAGCAGACATACCAGCGTTTGCTGTGAGTAACTACTTTCTCTGTGTGTATAATAAATCATCTGTTGGAGCTCTGAACATTTATATATATGTACAGTATGTAGGTACTATGGCTGCACACTCATGGCTGTAGCACATAAAGTCTAATTGTTTCATGCTGGATGTCCATAATTTCCTCTCAGGGTGTTCAGGTGTTATTTTACACCTGCATGACTTAACTTGCAGATGTTTCATGTAGAGAAAGCCGAACATTTTTCTCAGGGTAAAAAGCATGCTGGAATTTACAGCAACTTTCACTAAAAGTCATTAAAGTGTTTCTCTAAATGTCCTCGTCTTGTCCTCTCAGGCACGAGAACCCTCGTTTCCCCGGCATCCTGGCTCGTTTGGAGGAGGACCCCGTCTGCCAAAGACTTCCTCTGACCTCTTTTCTAATCCTCCCATTTCAGAGGATCACACGGCTTAAAATGCTAGTGGAGGTACACGATTAAACATTCACTGCAGAATTCATGTTCGCACTTGAAACCCAATTACATGGATCCGTAAGTGGGGTAATATTTGGTCCGGCTAAGCAATTTGCCGCAGCAGTGTTTTTTTCCCCTAGCAGTGCATAACAAGAGTATTGTTTACTCTTTGGCATGTCTTCAAAAACGTCTTTATTTTTCAGAATATCTTAAAGAGGACAACTCCGGGCTCCCGAGATGAGGACACTGCCACGAAAGCTTTCAATGAGCTGAAAAAGGTGGTGATTATCATCCCTAATAGCCAGTTGAAGAGTACCAGTATTATCACTGGTGAGGCACAACAGTAATAACCGTGTTGGTGTGTGTCTTCTTAGATCATCAAAGAATGTAACTCCAGTGTGCAGTCAATGAAGAGGATGGAGGAACTGATTCACCTCAATAAGAAAATCCATTTTGAGGGAAAGGTGACTGAAATGTTCCTATTGTCTTTAGCAGTGTTGGCACAGGTGTATATCTTGTCTTCATTGTATTTTCTTATGCACCGACGTATTTCCTGTCTTTGTAGATCTTTCCTCTGATCTCTCAGTCCCGCTGGCTGGTGAAACACGGCGAGCTCCTGGAAGTGGACACTCAGTTGATGAGTATTTCTGGATCAAAGCTCAAGTTACCCACCAAGCCTGTGTACCTCCACCTGTTCAACGACTGTCTCCTGTTGTCCAGGAGGAAGGAGTGAGTGACGTGCAGCAAAAGAGACCAAAAAAAAGCTTTACATGGAATCTATTACTATCATTTCATCATCATTATTCATTTATATTGTCTGGGAAGGGGAATCCAAAAATATTCCATGTATTCCAAATGTACTGGGTCTAGAAATAGAGACACCAGGAAGTACAGTAGCCCTCTACCACAGCTCAGCAAGTTAACATTATATAGGGCAGTGGTTTTCAAGGCATGCCCCCCTTCAGAAGCCAAAAAAGGTTCATACCCCACCACCTCACAATTATTAGCAATGATAGGGAACCAGATTTAATAAAAAAGCATCCAAGTTGAATTTTAGTGAGATAGACGTCAGCGCAATAGCATCAGCAAACAGCTGTTCTGTACATAGATCATATTCATTCCACTTTTCCATGAATACTTTTTTGAAAGATGGCTAGTACCACATACAAATTCTACACATAGTGGCTTTAAAGATTCAATAGCTGGTTATTAATGTGAAACACATTAGACATGCACTGTCTGCTGGTGATCTAGATAATAAAATTACGTCTTTTTGCAGCACGTGGAAGTTCATGGTGTTTGTGCACGCCAAGATAGGAGAGCTGAAAGTGAAGGATCTCAGTCAGAAGCTGCAGGGCATCTCAGGCTTCATCTTCCATCTGCAGCTGTGTGAAGGCCAGCAGCTCAAACATCAGATCCTGCTCAAATCACACACCGAGTGAGTAACAACACTCAGTCAATGCACTGTTGACAATAAGTTTGCTTCAGTCCAAACGGGTGCTTCTGCAGAGGGTGATCTAACTGCCCTTTTTTGTGCCCACCAAGGAGTGGGAAGCAGAGATGGATCACGGCAATGTTTCCATCTGATCCGCTCGAAGACATCGAGCAAGCCAGCGAGAATGATGGTCAGTAGAGCGTTTTAGGCACACTGTGAATTAGTGTAAACCTTTTAATCCTCTCATTCATCTATTTGTCTTTTCTCCTAGATATATCCCAGGTTCAGTGCATCAAAAGCTATCAGGCCCAAGAGCATGATGAGTTAACACTGGAAAAGGCTGACATTCTTCATGCTAAGACCATTACAAGTGATGGTAAGAATTTGGATAAAGTCCTCTTTCAGATAAACTGCATTCCTGCATTCCCAACTTGTGGCCATAAAAAGTGGTGTGTCTCACTGGCTGTCCGAGGTTTAAACAAGCAGAAGATGATGGTTGAGTGGTTTGTTTGATGTCTAAGGGATGTTATCTCTCACCAGGCTGGGTGGAAGGCATCAGACTGTCTGACGGGGAACGGGGCTGGTTCCCCAAAACCTACGTGGAGGAAATCACAAGTCGCAGCGCACGCCTCCGCAACCTCCGAGAAAATATTCGCATCAAATGTGTCACACAGAAACTGGAGGGGGAAGACTAACCATTTCTACTGCAACTTCTCGTGTGTCAAAGCTGCATCTCAGTTTCAAATTCGCGTTTTTAAGCTTCTGGATCTAATTCTGATTTTAATTGTAAACCTACATATGTATGCAGTATGCAGTATGCAAGTGCTAAAACAAGCCAACGTGTTCTTCACATGGATGCCAAACTGTGTATCAGCATTTTCCTTTAGCATGCTAGCTGGGAATAGGTTATGAAATGAGAGTGCAAAGCTTTCAATGCTCTTTTACAGCTTTAGTTTTAAAGGCTTTTATACAATAAGAGTCAAAAGTTCACATTTTTAACACTGAAGTTTCTAAACTTTGTAGGGGCAGTTGCTTTATGTATGGTTTCTGTAAATGCATTTCATTACCATTTCAAAGTCTGGGAACATTTTCTGGCATCTCTGTGGTAAATGTGGTATATATATACATGTGCATTTTCCAGCACAAGTAGTAAATGTGAACATATCCAAAGGTAAATGTGTACATTTCTAGGTTTGTGTCAGAGGAGAACAGTAAAACAAGGCTAACTCGCTTTAAAGTGGTGTCTCATGTGGCCAGAATCCCTTTTTGCACTGTCTGGTGCAGTCAGCTGAGCTCTGTGAGATGCAGGAGGATTCATTCATATAATATCACGGCAGAAAATCGCTGGAGGCAAATCCTGCTGCTGAGCTGCATTAGGACACATCAGAGGCCTTTGTCTTTGTTCACACTGAGTGCTACGTGATTTTCAGGGGCCAAATGGGAAGCTTTTCTGTTGTGCAGTCCACGTATTGAACAAAAAAGAACACTAGTTAAGAGAGGAAATTAAAGCCTGATGTGTTTATTTGTTTTTGTCCATCCAATATCTGATACACTACAGTGCAGCAGTGTCCAGCAGATCATTTCCATCCATGTGTTAAAAGATGTGGATTGTTAAAACATCTTTGTCACAGCACCCTCCCTGTATGTGCTGTGGTCTGTAGTAACAATTTGGACTGCGTGAACTCTGATGGTTTGCCAGTCAAGGCAACTGCAAATGATGATTTTCACGATTCTACTGTAACATAAATGAAGGACAGACTTTCCTCTTTACACAAACACTTTCTGACAAAAGGACACATTCTTTATTTTTGTTTTTGTCAACAAAGTCCGTGAAAATACCAAAACCAACAATGAATTGATTCTACTGACAAGAACTGAGAATTGTGTGTGAGCTATTAAAAACACATTAGTTCAGTGAGCCACACTAACATGTTCCTTCATTACCCTGAACACACTGTAGTCTTTTTTTTTAAGTTATTTTTTTGGCCTTTTCTTGACTTTATTTTTATAGAGACAGCTGTAGAGAGATAGGAAAGGTAGATGGAGAGAGAGGGGATGTCACACAGCAAAGGGCCACAGGTCAGATTCTGACCCAGGCCGCTGCAGCAACTCCATGTATGGGTTGCCAGCTCTACCGACTGAGCTAACCGGGCGCCCTGAATACACAGTAGTCTTACCGCCGTGCTGACGTAAATACTGACTAAAGCACCAAATGTGTATTAATCCATCACTAAAAATAGTCCCCAACAAATGCACTATTCACTCTTGTTTGAGTAACATTAACTAAAAACTACAGCTGCCCAGCTGTTTTAGGGAATGATTTACCCTTTTTTTTACAAATTTAACTATATATTTGTGATTCATTTTTAAAGATTCATGTCTTCAGTAGGAATTGGTAAGCCTAACCAATATGTTTTTGTTGCCCAAACCTAACCAAACTGTCATTTATTTTGAAAGTGTGACCAGACGTTTCATATTTATTATTGTCAGCGGAATGAGCATGTGTTGAAAACGTGACACTGCCAAATGTGTGTATTGCACACTTTAGCATGATACTTGGTTGACGAGTTGCGCTTGTCACTGAGTGTCGCAGACAGGTTGGCTGTTGTTGGTTATGGTCTTTTCATGACATTTGTTGACAGGAATTAAACCACCGGTGTCCTTTAAAAAAACAGGAAATGGACACCAAGCAGATTCATCTTGGGATGATTGTACATTGACCAGCTGTGTGGCTTACATGTACTCATTTTAAAACTTTGACCAGCCCCAGTTTAATAAACGTCAAACAACATTATTGATTTACACTAATCATAAAGGATTTAAGTAATACAGTCAGACACTGAGCACTGAATGACATTTAGGGCTCCATCTTTCACATTGTTCTCCTAATTAAGTGTAAAAATCCCCAAATGACCAAAAGCGCAGTGTAACTGAGCTGAGACCTGTTGTTAATGAACCACTATAATCAACGTTCAAACTCTTCCAGTGGCACATGAAATGTTTATAACCCTTTTTTTCTATATCTGCGTTGTTAGTTGTAATTTAAGTGGTTGCTGTTGCAGCATGTGTATTTATACTCCTCTAGCTGGTTGTTCTCTAAGGAGATTCTGATGTAAATTACTTTACTGTAGATGGCTTCATGTATAAAGAGTAGAAAATGGTTCTGTAATTTATATGAACAAAGATTCAACAAATATTATAACATTCCACAACTATAAACCTTTCAGTTTGATTAATTTCTAATACCACAATAAATATAAATACTGAAATACACTGGATGTTTACTGGATCTCTGCTCACTACTGTAAATGTTTAACTGTTGAAATAAATACAGGTACTTCCAGTTTATGTTGTGTTGAATAAATGCCTCTTCAGAGTTTTCAAACAGTTTATTGTGAAAAAGTCAAACATTGTGTACTTTATGGTGAAGATATCAAAGCTAAATATGTTCAGTTCCTCCAGTTTCTATTTCTTAGTAACATTTACAGCTCCACCGTATCTACATCTAACATTTCTTCAGCTGTGGTCCAGCTTTAAACTGGGTCATGACCTTGTTTCTGTTTGTCCCCACATCAAAGAGAACTAAAAGTATCTTTTCAGTCCCTCAGAGTGGCAAAATCACCTAGATATATCAAAACTAGGGTGAGAACACTTCACTGCTGTATCTCCATTTTGTGACACAACTGGACATAAAAGTAATATGTACATACTATCTACATGTTATTCTCGATTTATAATTACAGCAATTTCTGTAGCTTTTTCTGTTGAGTCAGCTGTGTCCATTGATGTGACATTGGTCGGCTGTTATCATCGGCTCCTGGGACTCCTTCCTGCTTCTCTGCAGCTTTGGCATGATTGGAGGTGGAGCGTGACTCGCAGTAACGTGGCTGTTTCTGTCTGGCTGCAGATCAAACAGACAATCTTGTTGATGCAAGGTTGCCTCACATTTAAGGTATAAGTCATCACCTTGGCACACATGAATATTTTTTACAGAAAGAAGAAAAGGTAATGTTTCCTTTTCTTCTTTCTGTAAAAAATATTCATGTTAGAACTGTTTGCCTCATGTCTAAATGACCATAACATATTGTATCTGCCATACAATCCCAAAGAATCTTAAAGTAATCTGTACATTCAGCTGCATTTCCAACAAAACTGTCAAAAAAAATATATATATATATATACCAGAGCGCTTTTGATCTCAAACAAGTTAGTACAAGTTTAGTACAAGATTTTCATACCAAACTAAAACCAACCCAGGAGATAGGAAGGTTGCATTCAGAACTGTAAAACACTGCAGCATGTGTTAGAAAATGATCAACAGTGATATTAAGATATGTAGTGAATGGGCTAAAACAGTGGTTGTTGTTAGTCTGGGGGCCTTACTCTTAAATCTTAAACTTGCATTAACTTTCTTCTTTTTTTGGCCACCTGGGGGCAGCAAAGCCCCTGGGTGCACATGTGGACCAATGTTGGTATTTATTTGGAGTGATGAATGTAAGCCCAATGCTCACTGTCCTTTAGCTCTTTTTTTTCCTCCTCCCCTCTCCTCTTGTTTTCTCCCCCCCCCACAAGTAATTTCCCCACAGGGATTATTAAAGTATTTCTGATTCTGATTCTGATTCTGTTTTGGTCTACACAAGTGGTTCTGAACCTTTTTGGTGTCAAGGACTCCCAAACTGATAAACACCAGGACATGGACCCATAAGCTAATTGATAATATACAGTCTCAGGGATCCCCATCCTATTTAGTTTTTCCATAACTGTCTCTATTGTAGATTGGAAGTTTAAAATGTGTGAATGATACATTCTCTCACTGGGCTAATAGTGAAAATGAAATTATTCCCTATTTTTCTGGGGATCACCTGTTTGAGAAGCACTGTCTGTCATTTGGTACTGGGCAGGTAGTGTTACAGTTGTTTTTTTAGAACCTTTTTGCTGAAAACAGATGCCACCTGCGATGAGATTGAATCAAATAGTAAAGTTGTGGTCCAGAAAACCATAAGGATCCGCTGACAGATGCTGAAACACTGAGTGAAGTGAAATTGCAGTGCCGGGTTAAAATTCTCTGTGGAGTTTCAATATGAGCAACCCCTTTCACATTACACATTGTCACTGATGTACTGTTAATACAAAATATATCAGTTAAATAGGCTTTATACCCTGTTTGCTTTTTTCCTGTAAAAATTCCATTAAAAATTAGTCAAATTAAATAATCTAAGGCAAAATTCACAAACCTTGACCTTCCAGCACTTCATCAAAATGGTTGATACACTAGATGTCACAAAAGTGTATTTTTTTAACTTAGTAATAGATGAAATGTATAATGTATGCTTATAAGAACTGACCAACTCTGCATCTTGGCTCTACTTAGCTTTTTAGACACTTTCAGCTCATTGTTTTACAGCCCAGACACTATGCTTAACCATTATATATTCCTTTAAATATTCCTTTAAAGATGTCAGACAGCACAGTCTAACCTGTTGTAGTTGAAAGATCCAGTTCCAATAATCCTCCTGACAGCTACAAGAGACTAGCAGGGGCTCCACCAGCTCACCTAAAAGGCAACAGTGATCATATGAAATTACTGTATTCCTCAATGAATTTAGTTTTGCTATAATCCAATGCTACGTTTATGTCACATCTTTATACCCATCAGCTCAAACTCCAGCCGTCCGGGCAGGGCTGACCTCTCCACTGCTTTGATGCTTTGTCGGGGCAACCTGCCCTGTTAGAGATGATGACACGGAAGAAAAAGAAAGCATGTAAGTTGTGCAGACATTTTCTCTTCCATAACATTAAACCATAGTGGTGCAAGAAGCGCCTCATTTTAGCGACTGCACTGAGTTATGTTGTAGGCGGCAGGTGTGAATTACAAAATGTTCCACCTATGCAATATGTTGTGTCAAAAGAACAAGCACTGGTTAACGGTTCCCGGGACACATACTGTAGTTTTCCCACACTGGTTGAGGAAGTATTATTACGTTTTTTCCCCCACAGAGTAATTTTACACTACCTCATATCTTATATTCAGACGCTTGTTGTCAACTGACAGTAGCAGGATGTCTTGAGGGAAGAGAACCATCAGTCTTTCTTGGAGTCCCTGCAAGAACAAAGCCAACAATGTCACTGCTGTGTTAGTTGTCAAATACAGATAATACCACACTGTCAAAATACTGTAACACTATGAAATAATATTCTTCATACACCATAGTCACATGTGCCACAAGTAGCTTTTTAAAGGACAATTGCAGTTTATTACAACTACGTCCTTTTTTTGTAATTTGGTCCCACTATTCCTAATAATAATAATACCATTGTTCTTTCCTAGTTGATAGGGTTAGATATGCTGATATATGCTACAGTATGTTGCTATAAAAGTCAGAGGGAGCAAGAAACACACAAGTCATACAATCAGGTTGTTTACAGGTTTTTAAAAAAGACAAAACAGAAATGGATTTACTGTGCAACGAGGGATTATTGCAACATGTTGTTGTCATCCATCTAACTTTCTGATTCTTATCAGACTTGTTGTTATGTCATATGTTCCTAGATATCAGCACTGAACTTGTGCCTACGATGTTATCGTAATTGATAGAACAGATTGCCAAATGACTTAAATAAAAGTAAAGTAGTAAAGTAAATAGTAAATCATTTCCATGTTGATTTGAGACGCTACAGTTGCTATTAAACAAAGGAGACCTTCACTGAGAGCAATAGCAGCTACAGTGCATGCCACATTGTGTGCCATGAATTAAGTCATTTGAGAGCATGATGATGATATAATAGAGACAACTTGCAGAATGTTAATGCAGTGTGAGTGAGTATTTATTACCTGTCTCTGTGTGTTGATGATATGAACCATAGATATGCATCCCGGCTGACCCATGTGCTGTATCGGTGAGCCCTCCCACTGCCATATCGGAGCTTGTAGTAAGTACTTTTTCAGTTCCTCTCTTTTCCAGTGCTCCTCACAGGGAAACTATGGATGAAATACTGCATGTGATCAATGTATTCATTACAACTTAACCAGAGTGCTTTTTTTATGTGCAGTTGTAGCCTGAAGTACAGCAGTTAGTCATTACTAGATAGGAGAGAGCGCAATGGGAGGGACTCATGTGTTGTGCCATTGACTTGTATCTCCTGTCTTCTATGTGTTGTATCCATTTCTGTAACTCTGCAGCACTGGCACATATGAAGACCTTGGAGTCCATCACTGGATCTAGATGAAAGAGGGAACAACATAAATCATGCTCAGTGCTTACTATGTGTCCCAAGTCTAAGCTGAAATTTCCACTGACTCACTGCTGATCTCAAACATGTGTGGTGAATGGGACGTGTCAGGTTCCAGGGAGACGGCTTGCAAGGAAAGTCCAGAAAGGGGAAGGATGCCCTGCGAGATAAGAGAAGACATTTAAGAAAAATGTCATGTCTGTCATTGTGCTTCCTCCAAAAGTGTTGTAGTGCAGTATTAGTTCTTCTTACGTCAAACTAGAATGTGGAGTTTGAAAGGTGTGGGTGTGTGCCGGTAAGAGGAAAAATATGCTATCAAGTTGCATAATGGGAAGTGTAAGAACCAGCATTTTCTAAGCTAGACCCATGCCAGGAACTCAAAGTCAGAATATTTCAGCCTCTGCAGCATACATTTTAACCATTCTGTTGTAGTCGATTTATAAGGGTGCAATAGACCTTTTTCACAGGAGCCGTTTTTAAATGAAATAGTAGGGTAAACACAGGTGTGCAGCAGAGCCAACATGCACAATAGCAGCACCCTGACTCTGTTCCCCTCCACTCAAAAATATGTTTTTCTATGTGTTCCTACAGTTGGATGTTTGAGCTTCACCGTGCAGAATGATGTATGTGCGTTGACACTGGAAGGATGTTTTCACATTCATCTGCTGAAAGTGGAAAGAGGAAAGTCTGTGCTCAATGAAAAATTTTACGGGGCGGTGTCAATCCTGGTCCACTATGCAATTTATACAAGTGTGATGTAGAAACTTGGAGCAACCGGTACACAAACATTGAGAACAGACTTTACAGTGAAGTAGGAGACATCTTGTGTCCAGCAGGAAAACTTTACAAATGAATGAAATTTGTATATTCATAGATTCTGCCATATTCATTTATTAATGAGGTAGAAGGAATAAATGCTTTTTTAATGATTTTAATGACAAAACATATTGTTCCACATTATTGTTTCAAGCTGATTATTTGTATATGTCTCAATACATTTTGTCAAAAAGGCTGCTGTGAAAAAGGTCTGTACTAACTCACTGGTGTAGGTTATTCTGTAAACTTGTCTGACACTTATTGTCTCATAACCACAATTTGACATTTCTTTGCGATTGTCTTTTTAAATAAAACGCACAAATAATACCTCATAAATGAAGTCTTGTCGAAAGTGGTCCAGGGAGAGGATCAGTAGGTGGAAAGAGAACAACACCAGGAAGTGTTCATTGGTTTCCTGTGGGGTTAAAACACAGGAGTGACACAGATTGAACACCAAATAAGCAAACGTAATGCAGCACTCACTCCTGATTAAAGATCTACAGGCTCATGAATTCATAGTGTTCAAATCTCAAACAGAGGCTCCATCAACTATGTGTTTATAAAACTGATCCATTTTAATATTTTGAAATAGAAGATGTTGTTTTCCAGACAGAAGTTTGTCTTTTAATCAGTCTGGGGTACTTTATGGAATAAAAACTGCTGGTAAACTGTACAAATTATTCTTACAGTGAATTTTAGAATAAGCCCCTTTAGGATGGTACACTGATGGAGACGCACCTCATGACTCCCAGCTGACTCCCACATGTGGTGCCGTGTTACCTGTGTGTAGCTGTTGCAGAGAGACACCAGGGATGAGTGGATGATCTCTCCATACATGTGGGGAGGCTGGCCCTCCCAGTCCCTGATTGGCTGCTGGGAGTAAATCCTGTGGTGCAACTCGTCTCTGCTCCTGCCCCACAGCACCACCTACCGACACAAAGCTGTATCAGCCCATATCTATTGATAATAAGTTGAATATTTTGCAGCTTTTCCAGTGGGTGTCCACTAACCCCAAGTTGTAATAAACCTTGTATGTTGCTGTAAGGATCCTGGGTGTTTTTTTTAAACATGTGCCCTCTCATATGACTGCCCCCATCAGTATTTATATGTGGCCAAATGTTTCACAGACTGATGAGTCATACATTATGCAGCCCATTGGTGTTTGTTTCAGTGTTGCAAGCCTCCAGTCATTGTTGTTTGAGGAGAATGTTGCACAATATTTGATGTCTAAAATTAAAACTATGTCTGCTCTTCTAGGAGCTGATGTTCAAGGTGTGTTGTGTTATTCTGTAGGAGTTTGGATGCTTTATATTTCTCTTTCAAGTGGAAAGAAGTGTGAAAACTCAAATTTGTGTTGCAGTGTTTCCTCCCTCTTTTATTTCCTGTAAAGTCTGAATCACACCAAACAGGGAATGCACAATCTCCCACTTTTGTCATGGAAAGTCCTACACTGTGTTTACAGTGTGTCTGGCCTCAACACAAATAACAGCACAGAGTGGAAACTTGATATTCATGTGAGGCGTATCTCCTCATGCTCTGCACTAAAAAGTGTTAAAGTGTTTGTGTGTCTTACTGAGAAAATAAGTTTCCGCTTCACACTGCCCTGCTCAATACAGACACACACATCACACATCACACATCACACACATACATACTGACCTCTTGTTCCAGGTGTCGTATTGAAGGGTAGCGGGCCGGTGGTGGTGGTGGTGGTGGTGGTGTTGGCTGCTGCTCATCTCTGCTGTTCCTGACTGACAGCTGAAGCCTGGTTTCCCCCAGACTCCACACTCTGTATATCACACATTAACACATCTCATCAGACATAATTGTCACATAACAGAGGTCAATGCTAAGGGCACAGTGGCTAAACCTCACAGTGGCATGTGGGTTATCTCTGTTTTGTTCTGTCTTGCAGCCCAAAAACATGAGAGACAAGCAGACTGGAGAGTCTAAACGGTCCAAAACTGTGATTGTGAGCTCCTGCTTGCACTGGATACAGCTCTGTTGGGTCTAAACGAAAATAAATAGAGACTGAAGAGCAATAGGACATGTCACATTTTAAATGACTTGTCTTGACCCCCCCTGCAGCCCAGCAGCAGCCAGACATAATCAGATTATAGTCATCAGAGCATAGACAGGCCAACCTGCTAACTCTTTACTACCATATTTTGCAGCTTTTGTTCAGGTTTTTTATTGTGCACTGTGGATGTGGCTGTACTCAGAAAAAGTGACAAAATATGGTCAAAACAGTCCATATGCATACAAAAATGGTTGATTTTGATATAAATTATTGTCCCACAATGCAATGCACAAAAGAGTCAGAGGAGCTACTAGCTTTTTTTGAGTTGGAAGCTGCAGTGACATTGTGACACCTCTCAGGGTTACAGCAAAACTAGGTTGGGGGGGGGGTATGGAGAACTGTTGTGTAAATCCTGCTTTGGACAGATGTCATTCTCTGTTTGAGAGATCAATATGTAGAACTTCTTTTTTCTCATTTTAAACTCAAGTTGAAACAGCTTTTAAAGAGCTCTCAGTCATGTATCTATTTCTGTCATTGAATTTTAATCTCATTTGAGTGTTTTGTCCTGTTTTTAAGTATTTTCTTGTAGAGTTTTGTGTATTCTCTATAAAAGCCCATCTAGGAACTTAGACTTGGGCTATAAATGCTGTGTTATGTGACACAGGTCCATCCTAAATACTTGCCCCAATAAAAATAAACATGAAATCTAACAAAAACTAACATTAAAACATGTGGATGGCTCAAGAAGCATTTAATCTTTGGAAATACAGTTTGCTTTCCCTTTGTAAAGTTAAATTTGCAGTTTCATTCCATATTCACAGTTTTACCAACATGGATCAGTGCATATATTGCATAATTTCCTGTAAGCACAAGCGCATATATTTCTTGTTTACCAGACATTATCAGCACACCATCACAATGAGTAAACAGTACTTTATACTTCACTGTGTGTAGAATTTATATCTCGGCACATACTAAACACATCTGATGGAGTGTGTGTCTATATGTGAGTGCGTATCTTTCTAACAGTTAAACATGAGTGGCCTGCATCCATGAGTAATAATTATTAAACAATCACGCATAAGGACTGGTAGCTACTGTTGTGATTAGCCTCTGCTAATCCCCCAGCCTTAGAACAAGCGGGGATTTGTCCCGCCCTGGCTCTGTCATTAAACCCCTCCATGCTTCAGCCATTGTCTTACAGTAATCTGCTAATCACATCAGTGCAGTATCACCGAGTTCCCAAGTTCATGTTGAGTAAATAGGAGCCAATTACTCCTCCTGCCTTGTTGTTCTGCAGGGTGGAAACCATATTGTTGTTTTGCAGGTGTTTTCATTATGGTTAAAGGGTTTATGATTGAACCTTTTCTTCACTGCATCACCAGTACATTCTGTTACTCATTCAGCATGTGCATCCCAGAAAAGGCATCATTTGCAGCTTTGATAAAGGTTATGCAGAAGGCTACGTCCTCTTGTGTTTTACATTCTCAGCTCCAGGACATGATACATGACATGCCAAAGAAAACCACAGCAGTTGAAAGAGAAGCTGCTAAAGCTCTTTTCACTTCACAGCATATCACCGCTTCCTCCTCCAAAACTCACCGATAGGCTACACAAACCACATCTAAAACAAACCTAGGGCACTAAAGCTGCAAAGATAAGCACATCAAATATGAATTAATTCACATTTTAGCTGAGATAATGGTAGTTCTTATTTCCTCTGAGGTCCTTTGTTCCAGGACTCAAGTACAGTCATAATTGTGTGAATTCCCCACCAGGACTTTTCTATTTTTGAGTATGTAAAAAAAAAAAACATTAACTCTTCAAACTGTCAAATTGCATTCGTGTCTTACCCTAAATTGTCTCCAGAGAGTTCCAGGAGCTCAATCTCATCAGGGCCCACCTCGTCCACTCCAGTATGCCTCTGGGTCACACTGCAGCATCCCATGATGGATGAGGAGTTTGTCCCTCTCTTGCCTTGTCTCAGCTTCTAGTCCACACACTGAGCACCATCTGCCCAGACAATCATCTCCACTGCGTGTGTGCGTGTGTGCGCCACGCTAAAACCAAAGAGATAACATAAAAAAACGGGGGCTGGTTGGGTCCAAAAGAGGATATTGTTTGCTGAAGAGAGGGAGGGAGGGGGTTGCTGCTAAGCTCAAGTTCCCCCTTTTTGCCAGCATGAAGTGTAAATTTCCATAGAACCTCGAGAACGAAAGGTGTTACAGCTTTTGAAGAGGAATTGAAGATAAAAGTGGCAAGAAGCTGTCGTCAAGTCACAGCGTAGTAGTTGCTCCTTCCTTCCTGTCAGTTGGCTGGCTGCACAGAACTGAGCAGCTTCCTCAGTTTGTTTTTTTTTACACCCTAAACTCACACTGGGAACCTGCTGTTGCTTCAAATAAAAACCGGTTCTACTGTCATTCAAAATACAAGTTTACCATTTGTTAGATTGAAAAAAAAAAAAAGCATCTCCTACATGTTTAAGGCTAGTCAGGCTCTCCGATTCTCTCGACCTCCTTGTTGAAAAGCATGTGGATGAAGCAAGCATGTTGTTGGGAAAGACGGGACCGTGCCCGTCTGTGTTTGCATGCACCAAGCCTGAATATGGATGGGCAAGTGAGATAATTATAAGTTGTGAAACGGAGAGGTAAAGGGCTGCAGTCAAAACAACAGGCCACAACAACTGTAGAGTGGAGCCTTGTGTTGATCTTCCTGGTTAGGGAGGGTTTGTACACAATCATGTCTGAGTGTTTCTGTCTCTCCACAGGGCAGGAGGCTGTTCTCTTGTTTCCGTGAAGTCATGCAACTTTATGTGAGATGACTGATGACTGTTGATCCGTGCTTTGATTACAGTAAACGAGTCCACCTTTATTGGATGGAAAACCTTTTTTTTTTTTTTTATTCCTTACAAACCAACCAGTAAAATGAACCCAGTTATAATTATTCAAATGCAGACAGATTCTTTATTGTCACATTTAACATTTATTAGCATTTCTCTGAGAGTAAAACAGCACCAGATGTCCAAAGTGTGGATCTGTTTTTATACAAAGCTCTTTAGATCCCAGCTGTTTGTATGTAATGCGTCACAGTTCCTCTTTCGTCTCATAAACTAAGCTCTTTGTGTCCTCTCTGAGCTCTTCTTCACCGGGTTCCTCTCCTCTTCCACCTTTGTTCCCACACACAGGAGGTGCAGCGTAAGGAGGGGCCATCGTCCACGTCTCCAGGGAGCCACAGACGGAGATGCCTTTGCTCGGTGCCGGTGAGGACAGTGACATGATGATCCTCGTCTTCTGTCGAGTCCTAGAGTGTGTCACATCATCTGCGGCCTTCAAATGATGATGTAAAGTACATTTGCTGAGCTTGAGTTCAACCCGCGGCCGGGGGTTCTTAGTCTTAACGGCCTGTGTTGACTGACAGCCTTGATGTAGAGGTGAAGAGGCGGTTGAGGTGGGGGGACGCTCACCACACTTTGAACCATCCCTTCCCTCACCGCTCACTGAGACATTTACAGCATTATCAGGCGATGCTGAGGGTACAATTTTGTCCTCTGTCCCTGACTTACATCTTTTGGGTTCAGTCTTTTGGGTCTTTTTGGTGCTTTTCTGGTGGAATTCACTGCTTGTGTTGCTCTTGCTGCAGGCCAGCGCTGAATCAGGAGGGAATACACCACCGTACAGCAGCACAAACTCCCTCTGACTGACCAAAGGAAGCATCCTCTGCCCGAGACGACACTTGTTGAAGATCTCTAGGGTTAAATCTAGACAAGAGCACGAAAGAGCGACAGCAGATGAAAACATCTTTGGTGGTGTCACACATCAGCCTGTTGAGCAAACCAATCAAGTAGCATATATAATGAAGGGAACTATTACTGTGCCATTTTTGTTTAAGCGTGGTGGCGAATTTGCTTTATAAACATCTACTGAACATAATAATGTGAGCTCACCCAGTGTCTCCACAACAGTGCTGGGTATCACCTCCTTCAGCACTTCACAGTTGGTATGGAGAGCTGGATTACAGTTCATCTCCAACAACCATACCTGTTAGGAGCACACAAAGACACGATTGGTCCAATAATACGCACATTAATGCACACGTTTAATGCTGAGCACCGCTCCTATGTTCAGCAACGCCTCCCCCACCTTGAAGTCGTCGTCGACCATGAAGTCGCAGCCAATCAAGTCAAAGAAGCCCAGTCGGCGGTCTAACTTGGATTTGACTGCAAAGAAACACTGCGTCATGATCTGCTGCATGTGCTTCTGATGCATGGAAAGGAAAAATAACAGTCAGCGAATCCATCCTGCACATACAATACAGCAGCCATTTTGGAAGTCTGCAGCTCTTAGCAACAGTGTCTGAGAATGCAGGTTTGGACGGCTTTAATTTATGCACATTTTAATTTAATTTTTGCACATTTTGTAACACATTCTTACATACTGTGATGGCTATTACAAAATGTGTGAGTTGCACTTTTTCTTTATGAACTGCCTTTTGAATAAGCTGAAGTTTTTGATGGTCTTTTTGGAGAGCCCTGTCAAAACACCACTGCAGTGATCCACCCTGCCAGAAATAAAAGCGTTATGGGTTTTTATAGGTCAGCATTTCCTCAGTTGCTGGCTGTATTTGTAAGATGATAACAAGCTGATGCTTTTATGTGACTATTTAAAACAGAGTCAACTATAACACCAAAGGGGGCACCACAGGTCATGAAGTCTAATTTAATATTTGGGAAGTTTAATTTAGGTTAATTGTTAAAAAATATTAGACATCCATTTTGGTTGGTTATTACATAATGTACCATATTATTATGTTTTCATAATAAAAAAGTGCAAATCCTGAATTTTGTAATAACCACCACAATGTAATAATTTATTAGAAAATGCAGGAAAATGTTTTAAATATTGCATCAGTGCTGTTAATTACAAAATGCAGATACTCCTAAATATTACACACTGGACCTTTAAGCTCCAAACCACTACATCCTACATATCCCACAATGCAACTTGATAGCCTCTTGACAGCAGTATGTAATACAGGTTGTCTGTTAAAAATGACTCGTCTCCAAACCAAAATACCCAGGTGATGTCACCTGAAAAATGTTGTCAGATTTGACAACTCCAGTGTCACAGAATACATGACTCAGCTGTTTTCACAGACTGTGTAGCAAATTGACATTAAAAAAAAGAAAGTTTTCCATTTCTACATAGAGTGGCCATAACAGAATAAATTCTTTCTCGAGCTGAACTTTTATTTGTTTGTATATACTCACTATCGTGTCACTATCAGGGTTTGAGGTTTCATTCTAACAGGTGCCACCAATGATAGAAATGTGCACATTGCACTGCTGGTTGTACTGTAACGCACTACGGATAAAAGCACCCACCAAACAGCACATGTGATATTTCACTTCAGTAATAACATGATATCCTCAGACAGGAGTGAGATCATCCAAGCCCAACCACAATCTCAATTAGCTGCAAGCTCCCAACAACCGTCATTATAAAGGTAATTGGTCCCCGAGAGCTACAACACACAGCAGCACTCACTGCAAAGGCGCCCAGCACCCAGTCCCTGGGCAGACCCTTGGCAACCCGAAACCTGTCGTTGACGTAAGTGTTGAAGCTCTCCATGGACCACACAGTGTCCTCTTTTAGCTGGCTGTACAGAGGGTTCTTCTTCTGCATGTACTAGAGACGGACAGCAGGGGGACCAGAGACACATGAAGCAGAGAGTCAGTTAGAGCCACAGCTAATGCCTCATCTATTCAACCTTCCTGGAAATGAAAAATACAAGCAATGATATGATGCAAATATTTCTCCAGTATAATCATCCATGTTATTGTCCTTTTTAATTTCAGTTAAATGGGAGTTTACATGGTTGATATTAGGAATTAAACGGGTTGAACAGTTAACAAATAAACCAGTCTGACCAAACAAGTCTAACCCAGAGTAAAATCTGTGATATTGTATCAAGTTTGTGAACCTTTAAACTCCAAAAATTAACTCAACATCAGAGCAGTGATGTGATCTTGTCTGCAGTGACTCCATCAAAATATTGTACAGTACAAAAAGAAAAAAAAAAAAAATGTTTTTAATTCAATGTAGACATTCTGGTTTTGACCCGAGAGCACTGTGCTGGAATGGTTTAGTTTTTCAGTGCTGATAATTATTACCCAGCAACTGCATACAAATTAATAATGATTTTCTTTTCATTTAATATAGCACGGACCAGTTTGTCATTGTATATAGGTCATTGGAATGATTGTGGCAGGAAGGCCTTTTTTAGAACCACCACACAAGCAATTTCCTAATCTATTTTAATAGGATGTATCATAGAGATGTTTCTGTAACTGTCTGATTTCCAAGTAATGAGTCAATCTAACGCCACAGCAGATTATCTAAAACCTGTGGGGGAATTCTTGGTTTAAAGGATAGGTTCACAATTTCATGGAAAAACCTGATTCAACTTGAAAATTCTATCCTTTGAAGGGTCCTTTCAGTTAACCCTGGGTATTGCTGTACAGTATCAAGATGTACCTGATTGGTCAGGTGGGCAGAGAGGTTGTTGGAGCTGGGGTCATAGAGGTCACAGGTCAGTCGCACATATCCATGGCGAAAGAAGACCATGTAAGGTACAGTGCAGGCGATCAGAAGGTAAGAGCGCACATCAAACTTTTTCCCCTTCAGGAGCAGAGGACTCTGGATGTAACTGAGAGCAAAATTCAGCTACATCAGCGTTTCTATAGTATAATAAGTATAGTTTGTGATTTGTGGACAAAAAGATGTTGACAAGTACAGACAGTTGCACTCACAAAACTGTCTAATTAGTCTGCAAGCATCTGTATAAACAGATTTATTGAAAGCAGTCTGAGATGAAATTAAATCATCTCTGCTGTACTCTTATTATCCAATGTTGAGGTGAAGGGTAAACATGATGAATGTGACATTGTGTTCATTTTAATAACCCAGTAGTTAAGTTTGTTCACCCACTGTTGGACAATGCGAGCCTGAGGCTGGCGCTGGTGCATCTTCCCGCTGGCCCGGCTGTCCTCTATGTGCTGCAGCTTCAGTTCGAGGGCGGCTACATCCTCCTGACTCTTCATCAGAAAGATTCCTCTGCCTTGGTTCAGACCCGTGGGCTTACAGATCCACATGTGACTCTCGTTGTTGCTCACACCTGGACAGTTGTAAAGTTGATAAATTGACAAACATATGACATATACAGGTATGAAATATAAAGTCCTACTGTCAGCTCTATACTGCTCTGTGTTTTTCTGTTGTGTCCTGTTCTACATTGTTTCTAAATTGTGTTTAGTCCTACAAGTAGATAGATTCTTTATTGTCCTTTTCAAGAAAGGATTTGTTGTCAGTACTTCTATCTGTTTTTCAGTTGCATTAATCAAACACAGCACTCTGTATCACTGAGAAATCGCTCCATATTTGCTCTTTAGTACAACATTATTGCAGCGTTCAAATTTAAAAATTAATATTATGCAGTAGTGGAAAGTAAATTTTCTCAAGTACTGCGGCAATTCTATGCAAGTGCTTTTTCATTTTCTGCTATTTTATACTATATTTTGGAGAGAAACATTGTGCCTTTTACTCCATTTACGTGGTAGCTGTAGTTACAGATTACATCATCTTATAAAATATGATGCATTGCTATCAATCAACAGTATATAAAGTAGTTAAAATTAGCTTCATCTTGACAAGCTGCAGCATTAAAATACTGTGTATATGTTAATAATGTTAATAAGAGTCCTACAATAGAATTGTAACACTGTGAAAGGGGCTATTCTACTGTCCAGTGAGGACATAGCTAATACTTATGAGTGCAGGAGTTTTATTTTTAATGAAATATTCTTGCTTTGAGTGAGTTATTATGTGTGAGTGTTTACTTTGTGTAGAACACTGAATAAGTGATTTCTGTGTTCTGATTTGTTCTTTTGTTCTTTACCACAGATTCATCTGTCACCCAGAGATGTAAACGAGCTGTCTGTGTCTTTCTCCTGTTTACTTAGTGATAACCATGTTTGTCATAACCTGTGCATTGCTTATCATGATGCTGTGTGTCTGTATCTCTACAAACAATACAGAAACCATTTATTCTCTAGTCCTTAAAATGAAGGGAAACTCATGTTCAGTTCTAATATGAAATGTATTCAGTCCTGTGTCGTGCTGCAGCAGCTCTACATCCATCCCTGTTGAGCATTTCTTCTCATGTTTGTGTCTCAGCCCTGCCCTCTGCTGACTCATCTCTATGGCAACAGCATGTTCCCCTGGTGATTTTATCAGGGCCTTATGGGAGGTGAAGTGCATTATTTTCCAACGTCCTCAACCTCTTGATTAAACAATCACCAAGGTAACTGTTGTCTGCTGAGGACAAACTATTGAGTTTCTTTTCATTGTTGGATGCATGACAAGTCAAGTTTGATTTATCTCACTTTAAACTGGAGCTCATTAACCAAACACAAATCCAGTTGAACCAGTTTTGTGTTGTCATTGCATCAGACTACTAATGTGTTAGAGGTTAAAGAAGGTGGGATGTCTGGTGCATTTTACCCTCCTGCTGGGCAAAGAAAGCCTCTCTCTCTTCCCTCACATCCATGCGAAAGGTGGTGGGAATGAACTCTTCCATTTTCAGCCTCCTGTGAGGTACAACAGAACAAGACGGAAGCCCAAATGAATGTCTGCGTGTCCTCAGCAGGTCAGGGTTAGAAAAAAGTGCCAGATGTTGAAACTGCCTGAGAAAGTTATTTTAATTTAATTTAAAAAAAGAGGTGCTTTGTGTTTTTAGTTGCATTGTCAATGAGTGGTAAGACATCTGTACAGTGATTGCAGATTCATTTCTAAATCATAATGTTCACTGTAATGCAGTGACTCAAGCAAGTTTTATATCTCTGAAAATTCCTTTCCCAAAATATTGTTGGCTGCCGGGAATGTAGGAAAAAACCCATTCAGCAGTATTAGTAAGCATGGTCCATTATATATACACTGCATATCTTCCAAGTAAAGAACACAAAAATACTTTTTTCAGCTTTAGTTTAAAGGACCAGTGTGTTGGATTTAGTGGAATCTAGTGATGAAGTTTCAGACTGAAACCAAAAGAAATATTAATAATTAACCAGTGAAATAGCTTATATAATTGACACACGTAATGCTCAATACCAAGCTTGTGTGATTCAGACAGGAGGCCTGATTTCTGATGATGCAATTTGACGTTCATTAAATAGTATCACAGGCTGATACAGTATGCCTTTCAGTCAGTATTTGCAGAGCTGGGACTCTATTGAACCTACATGACGGTACCAGATGGTTGCTAGGACATTTGGGACACAACTATAAATTGTGTAAACAAAACAGACAGCTATATCTGTCTGCGTTTAATACACACAGCCTATGTGGATACGAAATGGATAGCAGACAAATACAGCAGGAACACAGCTGTCTATTTCACCTCAGTCCTCGACCGTGGTTGACTTTGCTGCTGACCCGCTCGTACTCCCGCAGGCTGCTGAGGAGACCGATCTTAGTGGTGAGGACCTTGTTGTTGGGAATCTGGTAAACCAGCTGTTCACCTGGGAACAACACATGAGGATTTCAACTTTTCTGTCTGTGAAAGAAAGGCAAAACAAATCTCTTTTCTACTGGAAGCTAAATGAGAAAAGAAATGTATCGTTGGTTATATTTTTCAGAAACAGATGTGTAAAGGTAGCAGTGATGGTGATGAGAGCGATTGCTGAACCTTCTCTGAAGTTACAGTAGTTGACTGGCGATTTGGTCTCACACCACTTGAGTTTGAAATCCTCCCTGTGCTTGTTGTAAATCCTCTTCCATCCTCTGCTTTCACAGTAACTGCTCACTCTAAAGGAAAAGTCCCAGAGAAATCAATTACACCTCTGCTTTAATCACACGACAGTCCAAAGGTCAGGGGTCACATGTAAAACTAGACTTTGACTGACAAGTGGCCCTAGAAAAATATACAGCAGGTGAATGATGTTTTCTGCTTTTCATTTTGAAATTGGATAACCTCACTCAAGATGTGATTACATTTTTAAATGCCTAACACCTTATTGATAACCGCCATTTCCTTTATTTCATATTTCCTTACTTACATTTCAGCCCCATTGGCTCCTCCAAAGAAGTAGAAAGGCCCAGGCCCCCGGGGCTCTTCTGCCTGCCGCTCCTTGTCCCTGGCTGGGTTGGAGCAAGTCGACAAGCCCCTGGGGAAGGACCTCCGGAGGTATCGCTCCACCAGGCAAGCACCTGATACTTTTACACACACAAACACATCATCACAAACAAATCATGTATGCACACGGTCACTCACTTTCACAAACCTTGTTCTATTACTATGTACATGAACTTATATGGATGCACAGTTGAAAATCAGTGGATTACAAGACTATAAAAAAATTATTTTGAAAGGGAATCATGTGCTGTATTTTATTTTGTTATGCTGCAATAAAGGATCAACAAATGACATCACACTTCATGTCTCACTTCTCCCTCCACACACCTGACCCTCTATTCCGGCTTTCCTGGTTGAAAGTGATGTGGGAAAACCTCTCTCTCTTTTCCTGAGTCTTCGTCTCCTCCCTCTGGACCTGCTCCAGTCCACCTTCTGATGTCACTTCCTGCACGCCACTATGGTCAGGTGACGAAGGCTGTTCTCCTCCAGGCTCCTCCTCGTGCCTCAGGCTTCCCGTGGGCCGGTTGTCCCCACAGGGAACCTCCACTAGTTCCTCCGTCTCTGCTCCTTCCCCTTGTTGCTTTTGCAGTCCGGTCTCCTCCGCCTGGCCCTCACTGCTGGGCTCCACCCAGCATGCAGAGGACATGATGGTGTAGATTGCTGCTGATGGTTAGAAATGTTCCAACATGGGAGGACAGGTGGACCCTGTAGTCAGAGATTAGTGGAGTGGAGTATGAGAGGAAAAGAAGAAGGGATTCTGGTATTCAGAGGATGATTCCTAATTATTTTGGTGACTCCTGACCTTTTGTCTAACACCACCACAAACACCCAACGCTGTGTGTTTACGCTTGCATTGCTGTCATATTGTTAATTACCTTGAGACAGTCAGCTGCTCATGCATTGCTGGGTTAGGGAAGTCATGTAGCCATGCAGAAGCTATAGAGAAGTGGAAGGTATTCAGAAACCCAAAAATACCTCCTTTTTATTGTTTTAACATCTGAAATTTTAAATATGCTTATGTTCATGCTATAAGGCCCCCATTCAGCCAGTCTTTGTCCTCAAGAACACTAGAAAATGTCTCACCATCAGCAGAACAACTTAACAGGAGAAACAGTTGATGACAAAATATTTCACCCACACCAGACAAATAGTTCAAGACATCCTAGCAGACATACTAACCGTATTTTGTGATGCACAAGCACCCTCAACTAGAGCTGGTAACAAGACAGCAAAGTGGGTCTGGTTTGTGGCACAATTGTAGGAAAATCCAACTTCCAGCAAGCGCTGCAAAATGCTCCCAGACATGCAACCACAAGAAGTGACACATTTCTATGAGTACATATTCCCCTCCTTCTGTGGGCAACACACTGTGGTAACGAAAGAGCTTGGCAACTGAAAGAACAGGGCATGAACACTTCAATCAATCACAAGGGCACTTTTGCAAGTATCCAAGAACCACCCAGTAAGTCCTGATGGGGTCACTGACTCATGTGCTTCTAGAAATCAAATGTGCTGCCCCAGCCCCTCACTTACTCACTCACTCACTGACCTTACTCAGAAAGGAGGTGACATCAAACTAATAGATGTAGAAAACTGGCAGCAAGGGATATTATATGTAAGTACAACTTACAATGTTTTTGCACAGATCTCGGGTCTGCCACACTTTTTATGTATGTTGTGTTACCTCGGCTTGTAGATGAATATGTTAGAGGACGGTTTAAGCTAGATGAAAGATATACTGAGATAATGAGATAACATTAAGAGAATCAGAATTACATCTGATAGCTTTGGGCTGCGTACACCAACTTCCTGTCAATGTTAAGCAAAAACATGCTGTCACAGTTGTTAACTTTCAGTTTTAAGAACAAAATACGAAACATCAAGGCTAAAGAGAGTATAAATGTTGCAAGTGGTTAAAAAAGTTTTTTTTTCCATATTCCAAGTTTATGTTCTAAACAAAGTTGTTTGAATTTAAACAAATACAATGTCAACATGAAAGATGACTAGGATTTAATTTTCTTTAAAAACTCTTTATTTGGTTATTTCTCATATCTCCTTTTACATCCAAAATATTTCAACATAGGCTGACGATTTACTTTAGGGAGTTACAGTATGTATACAGTCTTATTTAAACATGAAAATGTGTATAAAAACAAATCAAAACAAATTGAAATTAAAAAAAACACTGAAAACGGAAGTAAATAACACAAATAAATCAAAATAAAACTAAGCGAGGGTTATATGTAAGATCAACTTACACAGTCGTACACATCCACCCTAGTGCACATTGTAAAATATCCATATTTATTTGAAAAAATAATAATAAAATGTCCTGTTTATTTGGTCTAACTTTTAAAAAAGTCATACAGACTACTTCCACCTGCAGTCCAGTTCCTGCATTAATAATAATCACATTCTGTACAACAGAACTGTTAAACTGTTAAAACTCAAATCCACAACTTACGTATAATGTTAGTCATGAAAAAGGTATACTCACATTGATTTAGTTTAAATCATGAATGAGATCTGGCCTTAAGTTGACAAGAGCAGCACATATTCTTAGAATCTTGTCTATTTTAGGAGCCATGGTGCTCGAAACAACCTCTGACAGTATTTTGTAAACTTTCAAACGGCTGATTGCTCTTCCAACATGAACTCTTACTTCTTCAGGTAGCTGACAGCGCTTTTTTGTAAAAGAGGCCATTACCAATTTAACTCCTCTGTCCAACAGCAATTTTTTTATGTTAAAGCCTCGATCGGCCATGACCTCATCTCCGGGCTTTAAGTGGTCTAATATTCCTGAGTCCATGCTTATGAATTTGTCACTGCATCGCCCCCCATACACTGGAGAGATGAACATGATTAGTCCACATGGGGCTATTGCTACCAGGTATTTCACTTTGTTATCTGATGAAAAATGGCTGTATGATTCCTTACTTGAATTAACAACTTTGGGTTTTTGGAAAAGGATCTCACTGCAGTCTAAAATACATGTTGTATTGGGAAAGTTCTTCTTGAATGCTTCAGGCGAGGTTGCCCGAATGGTTTCTTTTGGAAGCCATGGAATTAGAGGTAACAAAACTTCCTCCAGTCTGTCAATCCAATATGAGAATATCTTGCTGGCCATGCTCTGCGGTATATGAAACTGTCGGCCCAGATCACCTATCAAATGGTCAGACTTTAGGGTCATAAGTGTCATGAGAACTTGATCTTGCACAGACATTGGAAATGCATTGCTAGCATATACTTCCAGTGTTGACACAAGGATGTGAAAAGTTTTTAGGGATAAACCGGTGTAGAGAAAAGCATCAAAGTCGTTCTTAAGCATCGAGGACCCAATGTCATCGCCATCCGTCTTGCAATAATCGTGGTCGTGTTGTGCTGGGTCCTCGCGCTGTGCATGAACTGAGCGCTGCTGTGGGTCAGGGGGATGTGCAGAATCAGCGTGATCTGAGACAGCTGAAGTGAAGTCCACCATGAAAAACACACATAAGCATGGCCAGAGTTAAACACAAGTCGGTACAACAGACACTGTATATTCACTTTCATGTATGTAAATGAGGGTTGACAAAACTGTGTCTATAAAACAGGTGTATAATAAACCCATATATGTTACCACTTCAAATACACACTGAAGTCTGCGCACCCTTTAATCATGGGTTTTAAATTTGAGACTTGCATTTAAATAACCTAGCATGATTCAATAATAGAGCTGCAATGATTAGTTAATTACTTTACTTACAACTATTAAATCATCATTTTCTGTCATTTTTTTTAAAAAAGTAAAAATTCTCTGAAGCTTCTAAAATGTGAACATTTTCTGGTCTCTTTAGTTCTATGTCACAGTACACTGAATATCTGGGTTATGGACAAAACTAGACATTTGATGACGTCATTTTAGGCTTTGGGAACCAATGATCAACATTTTCCACCATTTTATTGTCCAAACAACTAACCGATTAATGAGAAAATAATTGACACATTAATCTATAATGAAAATAACACTAATAATACTGTAACAGAAAAGTTACAGTATAACAGTTAGTTGCAGCCATATACAGTATTACATGTAATATGACATGGGCTGCAACTAACAAATATTTACATTATTGATTAATATATTGTTTATTTTCTAGATTAATCGATGAACCCCTCGGTCTATAAGATGCAGGAAAACATAATGTCTTTAAATGGTTATGTTGTTTTTCTGTATGTATGCCTATTTCTGTCTGTACATTGAGAGCCAAGTAAACCCTTGTATGTGTGCACACCATTGACAGTAAGTAAGTAGTAAGGCACACACAGCTGGCCAATAACAGTGGTTCTGATTATATACAATATATAAAAGTTACAGGATGAAATAAGTATCTAGGTGAGGCTCTTTTAAATATTCAATCTGTACTGATCAATTCAACAGTAACTTTATTACACAAAGCATATATGACGTGTGTGTGTGTGTGTGTGTGTGTGTGTGTGTGTGTGTGTGTGTGTGTGTGAATGAACATACAGTTGAACATCTGGGTTCCTTCTGCAGAGGCTGTGTTACCGCCGGAGTCAGCAGCTTGTGTTCGGACTGGTTTCCGCCTCCTCTTCGGACGAGGAGGTCGGTCGTAGCCCAGATAAAGCTCCGGGTCGGGGTGCAGTACGGAGGGTCTCTTATTGACAAAATGATAAGAGCAAACATACACTCTCTTTGGAGGACGTTGTAGTTTCAACGCCGCAAGCCAGGCTGTCCTCCTGTCCTTATTGACGGGCATGGTGTGCAGGGCGTAGGGCGGAGGGCACGGACATCTCTGCCGGACTTGTTGGTGTTGTAAACAAAATGTTTGTGAGAAAGTCTTCAGTTTCTTGGAGCTGTTGTAGCAACCATCCGCAGCACACGTTGAACCCGAGCTCATCTTTAAGACGATATCACCGCTACGAGCTAGATAATGAATATAAAGTTGAGTTTTTTTACTTGTGTTTCTTCATCAGTGTTTCTTTGCGCTGGTTGATGAACGCAGTCACCTGGAAGCAGACAACCGGCCGGCGGAAGTAATCCTTTGATTTGCAGTAGCTTCTGAAGAAACTTTATTATATTTATCTATATTTATCAAATTTTACTTCTTGCCAAATTCCACATTCACTCATGTAAATTTACAAACACAAAGCAAAATCCCGAATTTAACTCAATTCAATTCAGTTTTATTTGTATAGCGCCAATTCATAACAGAAGTTATGTCAGGACACTTTTCTAATAGAGCAGGTCTAGACCGAACTCCTTATAACATTATTTACAGAGACCCAAAAGTTCCCAAAAATATTTGTATTTAATAAGGAAATGGAACAATATGTGTAATGAAACAGAAAAGCTATCAAAAGGATAAATGTGTGCAATATTTTTAATATTTTGAAACTTTTTAAGTGAACTTATTTTATTATGTTAGCTTTATTTAATTTATTATATTTTTTGTTTTGTTTTCGCAGTGCTTCATTTGTCTGTGCATGCCTCTAATGTTTTGCTTTTGATACTATGTATGTTTTTGGTTTGAAATAAACATAACAACAACAACAAAGAAATGTGAATAGTTTCCAGAGGTGGTTCCTTTCCTCTAGCAACACCAACAGACTGAAATGTCAAAATCTCACATACTGACAAGCAGATTTCTATGAAATCTTCCTGCCCCCATTGTAACTGAATGCCCTAATACCCTTCCTCTAGCACCACCATCAGAACAAACCTTACATGTTAAGGCTCACTGCAGAAACCTCTTAGAAAAGTTTCGTTTGGTTTAATGAACATTTCATCCTCCAGGGGTTGCTAGCACCCGCTAGCAGCTTTAGACTTTTAGCCTTGTCTTTATAGTTCAAATTTAGCAAACCTGAGAAATAAAATAAAAAAAGATGTAATGATGGTGTTTTGTATTAAAAGACAGGAGCTGAACTATATCTTTGTTGTAGCTACATTTTAGAGGAAAATGGTTTACCTGCAACTCCAGTGTCACACACATGTACAGCCAGACTCCATGGAAACCTACTCTTCTTCGGCCTTGAGCGCTCAACCTTGTAGTCCAACTGCAGGGCCCAGACAAACAGCAAACCCACAGACTGAAGGAGAGACTCCACATAGGGGAAATGACATGGTCTGTCAGCAGTTTAGCCCTCTGAAACCAGCCATAGTCACGCTGCAGCCACTAGACCAATGTAAACAATCACCGGTTACTTGGGTAATGGGACCCCTAGCAACAGTTGTCTCTTGTAGATTGAATCTTACAACAACAGCAGCTCAAGACAAACTAACTACTCAAGATTATGTATCCCACACACACCCCACCTCTAAGTTTAGCCTCATTCAATATTAATTGCCTGTAAGCCTCTGTTGTGTGAACCCTATGGTAACATAAGAGCAGAAGTGTCAATCAAAAAGGATTTGCCAGGTATTATATCACGACACAAAAGGTAAAATAATATTTTCCACTTGCACTGTGACAAATTGTTATTTAAAAAAGTCATAAATCTGTCCAGGGGACATGTTTTCATGTAGATATAATGGTATCTACCATACATTTTATACTGGTATCTATGCAAACTAGAGTTATTTGGAAAAAAACTGTAGTAGGGGATAAAATAATTATTAGAGCAAATTATCAACATGTTTTTGATGTTTCAAAACTTTTAGATACAAAATAACTTGAGCTGTAAAATAACCTGAGCCCTTGATTAAACTGAAAGCCTCCAGACATCATTTTAATGTGAACATCAATTTATTTCAGTATTAATTCATCCAGCTGAATCATTCACAGAAACATTATTTTTATGGCCGACATCATCATTAATCATATCGTCTAGTGGCAAATCCAGTGGCAGGAACGCAGTTAAGCAACATAGCATTTGTCTGCTCGCATGGCAAATCCACTTATCACCTTTCTGTCTCAGTGATTTGACTCAGGAGGAAACACCCAGGCCCAACCACAGTTGGCAATTATGCATAATCTCCTCTCTTCCTCCCAACAGTCTGATAATTGACAGGGGTGGGTGCCTCTTAGACCCAGAATCCATGCAACCGTATAATTACACATACAGTAGGGTAACCAGGAGTGACGCGTACACTTAACACCAATGTAGTTTAAGGGGGCATTCACACTGAGCAGTATTTAGAGCAGTCAAACTCTGTAGTGTTATTCTGCACAAGTCACTAACGAAATTGGGAACAGCCTCCAAAAATGCAAGGGATTATGGGTAAAAGAAGAGACTGATGATGACAGCTGTTGAAGCTGATTATTGAGTAGAATAAAATATATTTCTTAATTGGTATATTGACCACAGAAGCACATGATAAAAGTAAGATGTGGTTTGACTCCCTGATGACAGGTTTCTAAAATATGTCCAATAAACAAGCTGCTTGTGCGTCTTTGGTCTAAAGGATCTGGTTTGCTTGGAACTGAGTGATATGTACTTTCAGGGACCAGTGTGTAACATTTAGGAGGATCTATTGGCAGATGGAATATAATAGGCTATTCATGTTAATGTTTTCATTAGTGTTTAATCAGCTTTGTGTTTTTGTTACCTTAGAGAGAGCCATTTTTATCTAGACGCTGCTGGTCGCCTTCCATGGAGTCCGCCATGCTAAATGTTTCTACAGTAGCCCATAATGGATAAAACAAACACAGGCTGTAAATAGGGCCTTTTTTATTTTTCATGAGCTTTGCAGCAACAGTAGGTTTGTCCTTCATGCTTCATACATACACAGGTTGTCAAATACAGATGCCAGTGGTGTTCAGTTAGTTGCAATCTGCAACTTCACCACTAGATGCCACTAAATCATTTAAACTGGTCCTTTAACAAACCCAATAAATAAAAATTTAAAACATTAAAAAAACAAATTAATTTAAAACACATAAAAACATTGCCTCCATTGTTCATATGAAAGAAATGCAAAGTGTAAGTCTAATCACACTCTATATGACGTGTTGTTAGGGTTGGACTAAATTTACAAAAAGGAATCTACAGTCACCAGACAGTCAGTTCAGTCAATGTCTCTTTTAGGTGTCTGAGTGCAAAACTGCAGCGATAAGAGAGAACTGCCTGGCAATGATGCGAGTCCAGCCACAGCACCCCAGTTATTAGAGGCCTACTATATTCGTGTTTAACAGAGCTTTGTGTGGAGCCAGTGTCAGCCACACCTTGATAAAGAGCCGCCATCTGATAGACACACTGTGCAAAGTGCTGCGTAGGTGGACAAAGAGAACAGGCTTGTTTTACAGCCCTGTCGACCTCATGGTTTGCCATCTGCCAAGAGGCTGTGTGTGTGTGTGTGTGTGTGTGTGTGTGTGTGTGTGTGTGTGTGTGTGTGTATTTATATATGATAATATGCTTGTGTGTTTTGTGTTGCTATCTGTATGTTCCCTTTTTGTATTACATATTTCATGATTCAAATGTTAATTAATAACTTTTAATTTGATTTGATCTCCATCTGTCAGTGACAATGCAACACTCTTATTATCCTTTAACTTTTTTTCAATTTATTTTATTTATGCAAATTAAGTTTGAGGTTCTGTATGTGGTGCTCTTCTCATTGTCCGTTCATTCATGGCAAATCACACACATAGAATTGACTATATCACTATATCGCATTTTGGGTGAAACAGTTTTCACAAACTCACAAAGTATGAAAATTGAATGCATGAAAATGAATATATAATCATTAGATGAAAAGTGTGTGTGTGTGTGTGTGTGTGTGTGTGTGTGTGTGTGTGTGTCTGTGTGTGTCTGTCTGTCTCGGGGCGGCGACACCATAAAGAGTTGTTGGAGACTCGCCCATTCCCATGTCATCCCAACTGCCTCCTGTACCAGGAAGTGCTCAGCAATTACAGGGATGCAGCCTGCAGCAGTGGTGTCCCTCCACAACCCATTATTTGGAGGGATTCTCCTTGTCAAGGTGTTATAGTGGAAGGAATGGAGTTAAGTTACGATGTAAAGAAAGGCTTGTCTCAATAGGGTCTCTCTCTCTCCCGCTATTCATGATTTCCTTACAGAATTACACCGGTAAAGCAGAGGGGGGCTGTTGTAGTGGGGGTGCGACATTTTGTTCCCAGGGTCTTCATTCACTCATTCCCACTGGTGACAAACGTAAGATGAGGACACAAAGACATCGAAGTTCACAAAGAATGACTTTAACTTGGGAAAATGTACATGCCACAACCACATGTATGTCCTTAGATAAACTGTTGTTTAGAGACAGATAAGTAAAAAAAAAAAAAAAAAGTTTGAATACATTTATTTGGGCTGTATTTGTTTCCTGTATTTTAATGCTAACGTAACAAACCTGAAGGCTGAGTGTTGAGGTTTCTGGTTAACAATAGTGACATTTTCTGATCCACTCCAACCACTGTGATTAAGGATCACAAAATTGCTTCCAAAAAGCTTAACAGACTTGAAGGGGATTATGTGATAAACATAATGGAAAAATAATTGATATGGCTCTTAAATAAAGACTGCGTGCACTCAATGCAGCTTTTGTATTTAACACTATCATCATAAGGTGATGGATGGTGGAGAAAAGTTTTCTCAGTCCCACCCAGCTGAGCATCTGTGGTCTCCCTAAATGCAGACAGTATGGTGCTTCTTTTCTGGACGTGAAGCATACAGATGGCAACCTCCTGGATTAATGCCATTCACTATGTTGGTTACACCCTGTAGAGCTATGAAAAAACACAGGAGGAACACCAATAGATTGTGAAGTGGAAAATGACTCACCGATAACAGACTTCAGCAACAGTATGACAGAATAGATAGAGTTGGTGGAGGGAGAGCTGAGAGATGCTCCAGGTTCACACCTTAAAATTCAACAGCTAAAGAGGAAGTTCTTGATGTAACGAGTGCTGGGGCCCTTCACCGGTCAGTGTCTCAGAAATCAGTCAAATCAATCAGGTAAGATCCATCAACATATCAGTACAGAGTTGGGAAGGAAATGGTCTAGATAATCAAACTCCTGGAGGTGTCCTGGGCCAGTGATTATCGACTATTTAGGCCTCAGTTTAAGGGATATAACCACCAGTAATATTGTGCCCCAATTTAAAAATAAATAAAAATAAAAATACTATTATGGAAATGTACCAGCTGTTATGAAGAGAAGGCAGCCAGCTCTTCAGAAAGACCTGTTCAGAATGAGATCGGGAGCGTATTCGCAATATACTGGCAAGCGTGCTAATGCCTCAAATGTACCTGGGTTTGCTTGTGTACATTAGCTAAGCCTCAGTAATTCAGTCTGCCAGTCTCCATGTCTAATATCAGCACAAAGCTAACACACCAACTTTGCCAGAAGGCTAAAGTCAAAACTACCTCTGACAGGGCATGTCTACTCATGTGGTTGTTTTCCTGTTGCATTTACCCAATTGGTATAAGCTAAAGCTAATGAAAAGCAGCCATTAGATTAAGTAGCTACATGTTACAGCCTCACTTTGTTAAATTTCCCCCGCCTTGTAGCACAACATGTGAGAGGGACCTGGATGCAGACATTGGCAGACCTCCGCAAGAGCTAGCTTTTCTCTCTCAGTTAGCGGCCATGAGAGGCACGGTGCCCGAAGTGGAAGTCAAGAGCACCGGGGGGTAGTGTTGCTAGCACAGGAGTCCCGGGAGGAGGAGGTGTTCAGGTCTGGGGTGCGGGGGACCCAGCGTGTAATGCTAGTTGGGGAGTGGTGCTGGAATGGGCTCCAGAACCGGAGCCAGGCAGGCAACAGGACCGGGACCAGCTGATAATATGCTAGCTGCTGAGCTAACTTAGCTAATAGCAGCTACCGTTAGCAGCAGTTATTGGCTATTTTAACAAATAAAGCTATCTGTCCACTAGATAACTTCATAAATCACAGAGAGTTGAGGTGGAGCAGCTGAAAAACATCAGAGGGAAAAGCAGAAAATATTTTCTCCATAAAATATGACCCAGTTTCACCAGACTCTATCAATAGTTGTTGTGTTTTTGTATAGTAACGCTGCGATTTTTCCCAAGCTAATTATTGGATCATTTGTGGTCTGATAACAGTAAATTCATCAAATGCAGTGACCCATATTGCTATTTTTACCAAAATCAGTGAATAAAGTTATAAAATGTTTTTCTACAGTAAGGCCTGACCACCTTTTCTGCCACAAGTGAACTAGCTGAACAGCCGAGGATCTCTGCTATCTGGAGTCCTCTTTTCTGGGTAAGTATAAAAAACACAGGTTTGAGAGTAGGCCTTCTCTTTTGTACTGAAAGCAATAAAGAAGCTGATTTCACC